AGAATGCACTCTAAAGTTTGGGTCTACTTCACTAAATGTGATTGGTGACTGGTTGATGATGACAACACTGACAACGTTTTAATAGCGCCGCTTACACATTAAGCGTCGGCACGGTCGGCTGGATGGCGTGAGTTTGGGCTGGTACAGGTTGTGTAGTGTTCACATATAAATCCGAGGGACTTCTCAGGAATGCAAAAATCCTCGAATTCATGAAAATGAATTGTGCATGCAGGAAATCCCCCACTGGCTCATTCTTCTCACAGACTGGAGGCAGTAGGCATGATTTCAGCCGGCTGATCAATCTGTAGTGTCACCTCGGTCCCAGTCTGACCGCTGGGGAGAAGGTCTGAGAAAAAGAGTCGCCTCAGCACCGAAAACGCAAATCTGACCTGTGTGTGAAACCAAATTCCGGTGCTTTTGGGGCCGTGCCGACGCTAATGTGTAAGCGCCATAAATGAGTTAACATCGTCTTACTCTGCTCCATAAGGTAAAAAAAAAAACTGTTTAAGATAACGTTAGCTTGAGATTTGAGCTTCCATTGCTAGTTGCTGATGGCGCGTTCGTTTTCACCTCGGCACTCGGAAATTCTGACTTCCGAGTAGGCAGAGAGAAAGTATATCGAAATTGGTACCCTTAAGTAGCTGTATCGATTCCTAGGTACCGGGAATTGGTACCAAATCGATTAAAATGTGAAAGGTACTCATCCCTAGCTCAAGGATTAGGCGTTATAAGGTCTAATCTAAAATTGGAGGCCGGCCGACATATTCAATCTTTCCTATATTGGCCGAAATAATAATTTAAAGCCGATACAATTTTTTTTGGTTTTTTAATCAGGCACTCGCCACTACTAGACTGAAGAAAGGACCCCAACACATTGTTTATTTTAATGTTTTGAGTTTGTCTTATATTTGAAGTTCAATAAATATTAAGAGATGTTTTGACGCATTTAATTTCTATTGCACACAGTGAGTGTTCAGTTGTCTTTTACAATCAATGTGCTGCTAAAACGTATGTATATCGGTCTCAATAATCGGCTTTAGATATCAGCCACCGGCAACAAAAATTCTTTAAAAATTGGTATCGGCTTTAAAAAAACAAATAATGAAAATATATGTTCCTAAAAATTTAACTATGACCGGTTTCTATAAATACACAAGAAGCATTTAGGAGACATTTCTTCACTCACCCTTTGTCTTGTATGTGATTTTGTATGACACATGTAGTCCACCTCTATTGAAGGATCCTAATCAGGTCCAGCCCAATTCGTCCTCTCTGAAGGTCAACATTAAGGACCCGGACTTCAACTCGTTCCCCGGGTCCGAGAGCCAGGCTGCGCCGACGCTGGCTGACGGGCAGCTTGTCCAGAGTAATGTTGCTCTTGTGAATGAGACCTGCGCGGCCAACGCCGATATCTACAAACGATCCGAACAAAGTCGTGTTGTCCACTCGGCCAGTCAGCACCGCACCCACCTGTAGGTCACTCATCGACACAATGCCCCGTTTAAAGTCTGCCTGTCCAAAATCTGCCAAGGAAAGGGGTAAGGAGGACAAAAGAGGAAGTAATGTGGAATTGTAGGAACATAATGACAAAAACCAAAAAAAGAAAAACAAGAAAAGGAAAAGCAGATAGTTACCCAGACGGGTAGAAATGACAAACATATTATATTACCAAAGGTAACTGAACACTTGTGTCTACACACACCTCCTCTGCATTTGTCCAATATTCCATTCATCCTTTCCACTTTGACTGCTCACATGATCTGTTTTCCTTTCTGTATCATTAACACAAACAAGGAAGGCTTGCGATCCAGGAAATAGTCTAGTCCAATTATTCCCCCCTACACCACTGATTTTATGTGGTAGCTTCAGTCCCATCTGTTTACTCAGCTGAGGGCTGCCTTGAAGGCCAACTAAAGTGTGCTGCAACCGAATAGGGCCAACCTGAAGATGAACCTCAAAGCTCCGTTTCTTCATTTTAGGAAGACTTAAGCCACCGCTAAGCTGCCTCATAGACAGCACTTTTTGCCCTGTTATATCAAACAGTATAAAACATTTCAGTCTGATTGGGATAAAGTGGAAAACTCTGTACTTAATGTTCAAACTGTGGCAAACATTCATAATATACACACAAGTATAGCACTTCTAATTAGAAATAAAATACAGCAAATAACTTGGATTTTATTTTATGTCTAAACTCAAAAACCTGACAATAAGGAGAAAACCAGTCGTGTGTTTGTTGGATAATCTGCCCAACAACCGTCTGTTGGACCCATCACATGCTGCCAGAAGCATACTGGCTGCATTGTTAAGCTAGAGAGAGGAAGCCATGTCGCTGTCAGATCCTGTCGAGTTACACTGCCAAGACACAGCTATTATAGTTCACTCAGAAAAAAGCCGGTGTGTGGTACAACTAGCAAAACGTTTAGAGAAAACAGGCCAAGTTTGATTTTCTGTTAGCCTGTAGGGACCAATGAGGAACATTATGAGGGAAAGCTGAGACATTACTACATGAGATCACTGTGAGAGTTAAAAAGCAGATAAGAGATGTTAATGAGCGAGTTTGGTGCTCTTTCAAGAGATTAAATGGTTTCACTAAAATTATAAAGTTTATTTATTTATTACTACTGAAAACAATCTTAGTTTTTTTTACCATTATGTATCACAAAAATTGTTCCACTCTATCTAAATAAGTCATTGCTGGTTTTGGCTTTCCTGGTTTACACCGCGTCACTAAATGAGTTGTGTGAAGCCTTACTCTGTCGTATATCGAACCCTGGGGGCTGTGTGAGGCCATCTATGATGAGCTGGAGGGTCTCAGGTGTGGTGTCCACTGCTCGGGCCAGTTCGTCCACGCAGCTTGCTTTAACCTTGTTCTCCACACACTGTCGCAAACACGCATTACCAATCTGGTCCACACTTCCACCCACAAGGGACAGAAATCTAAACAGCAGGAACAAGAGCAAGAAAAAGCTTAAAAAGATTAACCTTGATGACACTTTTTCACATAGCCTGTACCTTCTATTCTAGCCTTTTTTTTATTTGAAACTTTTTTATTTAGAGCAACAGAGCAGTCTCTGTCAAAGTAAATATTCAAGGCCTTTGCAAATATTTGATCAATATCTTTCTTCAATTTTGGAAAAGTCACTTATAAGTTTGCAAAAGTATCTGTCTAGAGATCTTGCTATATATATATATATATATATATATATATATGTGATGGTAAAAAAAAAGGAACAGTAGGCAACTATGTGCTTTTCATCTGCAACACAACTGAGCAACCAATTAAAATCAACATATCAGATTGAGTTGTACTCTGTATTCTAAGCGTATAGAGTCTGATATTAGAAAGCAGCAACTGGTTAAATGAACAAAAAAACATCAAATGGATAAACTGCTTGGGTGATGGTGGAAATTTATATTGTCTGCCATTATTCATAAGAACAGAAAGCATAAATGAAATATTTAAAGGCACACTGTGCAGTTTTGCTTGCTTTTAGCACCCCCTAGTGTTCATTATTAATTCACTGTGGTCACACCAAAAATGAAATGTATCTCCTCGCTGTGCGTTCATCTTTTTAACACCTTAATCTAACAGCTGAAATGTCTCCACAGCCCTCATTAGTTTCTACAGGAGTGATTAATCACTAAATCAAACAAATCAGCTATGAACACCGTCTATAACATGCAGGAAGCAGACTCCAGGCCCACCATGTCAGCTCCACTCCACTCCGCAGATGCCCATCTCCAACTCTGAAGTTGCATATGTGGTATTCTGGCCACAGAGGGCTGTGGGGTCTGAGCACTATTTCCTTAACCCCTTAAAGGATCATTTTAGCACATACTGGCTCAAGGAAATGAATTAAAATATGAAAAAGTAGCATAGTATCCCTTTAAAGGTCTCATTCAATTGTTTTTATTTTATATATAGATTTGCTTCATCATAGTCTGAATGAAAATGCAAACATCTCACTTCTGATTGGCTAATAGCAAAGCAACTCTTCCACTGCTTCACTTCGCTCCTCTTTCTTGAGTAAAAATGCACTGTTGATGTTATCTCCACAGACAACACAAGCCCAAATGTGTTCTGCCATGTTGTAGAGTGGCTAATGCTAAAGCCTGGGGTCCACTGGAGGCAGACGCACCACGCCACGCACACTGAGAAGTCAAGTGGTCACACAGAAAGCGCCCCGCTGCTGAGCACTTCTTGGAAAGTCACGCGATAGTCACATCACATGGCACTTGAGGACAGGAAGTGGAAAGTGACTCTATTGTTTATACATGATCAGACTTGCCGTCATGTTTTGTGAGACTCAAATTCGTTAACAATGAGTAAGTACACTATTTTTTTGTATATTTTAAGATCAATAGTACTTTAAAGTTATCAAAACTGTGGCTGGGTTTGAGCTGTAAAGCCGTTCCGCTTCGTAATGTCTGTTGTAAAGTTCTCCATAATGTCGTAAACAGCTGCTTCTGGGACGCGGCGCTCCCTGTGTGCCCACTCTCATCAACTATAATTGCTTCTATTTAAAATGACAATGCAGACGCGGAGCAGGCGTGGTGCGGGTGTGCTGCAGGCGTGGTGAGGGCGCGGAGCGTCCGTCTCCGGTGTGCCCCACGCATAACAGTTAGCTTCTACTTGCCAAGATGCAGTTGCTGGCCAGTGTTTCTTTGACATAGAAGATACTGTTTTGTTTTTCTGACACAATTGTTTTCCCATTTATTTACTTTCCATGGCTTTGGAAGGCGATAAGGGCTGAAGAAAATTGTCATGTTCATCATGCACATGCAACTCCGAGTGATTTAAAAAAAGAACAAGTATTAGACGATTTCTCTATGAACGAGACCCCTCTGTCTTGGGATCTCTACACCCAGGTCTGACATCTCTGCCTTAACTCCCATTCCTCATTGGTAAAAAATGAAATATCGTGTCTTATTTTACTAGATTTACTTGGTTTAATCTTAACTTTGTTGTTCATTTCCTTTGATGTGAGAGACATTGATCTTTACATCTAGCAAAACCAGGACACATAAAAGAAAAGTTTGATCGATAGATCGAAAGTTCATAACATTTTAGGTGCATAAAGACTAAACCAGGAAAGCGTGTTAGGAAAGGTTCCTAGAAAGCCTCTTCTCCTTAAAAATAACCTGTAAGACAGCTTAGCTTGGCAAAATTGCATTTAGACAATCTCAGATTTGTAGAAGAATAATTATTAGTCAAGACTCAGATGAACTGTAAAACTGATAGAAAGCTGATTATTTGGATTTGTTTGGCAACCAAATGAACGAGAAAAGAAAGAAACGGCTCCCACTGTTTCGCTTCCAAGAAATTCTCTGATCAGTTCCAGTCGGTGCAAAAGGCATCACCACGCACGTTGCGTAGTTTACACACTTACTCAGCAGGAAACATGGCGACTAAGCACTACAAATGCTTGAAGGTTTTATGAGAAAGGGTGACAACAGGGCAACTTGCAATACTTGCAAAGTAGATATTTCATTAAAGGGAGGAAACACAACAAATATGCTAAAGTATTTGTGCAACAAAAAAAAAAAAAAAAAAGAAAGAGATAACTTAAAGTGAATGTTGTTGACCCCCTCCAGACTAGCGAATCTCAACGTAGCAGAAGCGGTAATATTTGCACATCCTCTCCTGTTAATACTAACTAATCAGCTAACACTGCCTATCAAGTTAGTGTCATTTGCCTTATATACACACACCGCTACACTAGTAGACTCCAGCGACTAAAGTCCGACCTGTGTTGAAAATTTGCCCATTTTGCGTTCATAAGGAGCATAAAAGAGAACATTTGGAAAGATCTTTCACAACGATAACAGGTACAAGTGATTATTCATCAAAGTGACAATTATAATGCAGGAGACCATGTATGATTGCTTTTTGACCTCCAATTGAACAACTCAGGAAAGACAGAATTGACAACAGCAGTGATATTGATAAAAAAAAACGTATCCATTCCCATCCCTATACAGAACATCTCAAAACATAGAGAACCAATGTTCTACAAGAAGCAAAGTCAAATACAAGGCAATGTTGTTGTCGACTTTAGGACGCACACAACCCCAACCCCCCATAACCCTGTCCGACACTCCCATCACGATGGTGGACTCATGTTGCTTCATGGGCACCACCGTCACTTCCGTCATAAAAAAGGCCCAGCTGAGGATGTACTTCCTGAGGCAGCTGAAGAAATTCAACCTACCAGTACAGTCGATGAGGCAGTTCTACACCGCAGTCATCGAATCCATCCTCAACTCTTCAATCAAAGTGTGGTATGCTGGAGCCACCATCAGGGGTACACTAGAGACTCTAGTGTGTCATACGCTCTGTTGAGAAGGTTATTGGTTGCAAACTCCCTTCTATACAGGACCTGCACCTCCAGGACATTGAGGCGTGCAGGCTGGATCACAGCTGACTGTTGTGTTTATTTCTTAATTCTAATTGTTGCTTATCATTTATTTCTTTCACCAAGTAACACACATATGGCAATAAAACCCTTTTGATTCTGATTCAAGGCTTTAATTCAATTCTAACCTAAACTGGAAAAATCAGACAATAAATCAACACAAAACAACCCAAAACTTAAAGTCGGTAAAACTGAGCTGTGAGAAAGGAAGGCCCCAGTTTTCATAAACTGGTGAGGTGAAGCTTTTCGTTTCCAAAAAACACATTTTATTTATCCCCTCGTAAAGTATGTACATCCACATCGGGTTGTAAACACCCTGACACCTTGCCTCATGACACTGCCCCCACTGTGCTGAGGCTGGACAACAAGTCTGCCAACCACACTTGTATAACTTTCTTCTACCATGATGTTTCACACCATAATGTCTAGACAGAAAGATCACACCATTTCAGATTTACTGGACATAAAATATAAAAGTGGACTAAATAGCAAGTCTGCATCTAAACAGGCATAGTTCTAAAGATCCAAAGCAGAAAAGCAGCGTAATGGAAGAATGAAATAAGTGTGTGTGTGTGTGTGTGTGTGTGTGTGTGTGTGTGTGTGTTGTATACTGTACATATTATTTACAGCAACACTGAGCACCGCTGGTGATAGACGGGAAAGCATTTCCCTCTATGCATGTGTTCATTTGTGAACCAGTTGCGTAGCGTCCATGATGGATGTCGCTCACTGGTATCCTGACGCCAAACAGACTCCGCAGCTGTCCGCCCCATGATGGACGGAACAGGTGGACTCACACACACACACAAAGTTGATTCATGTACAATGTCGCTCAGAAATGCTCAATTGGCAGTAGCAGGGAAAGCGCTGATGTAACACAAAACAGCTTGTGTACAAACAGTTGTGAGCGGAGAGCCTCTGCTGCAGTCTAGAGGAGGGATCTGAGCTTAATCAATCCCTCAACACCAGTAAGCTAAATCAGTAAAAATAGTAGCTGAGTATGTGCCAAAAAATAGCTTAGCGGTGAGGAAGCAACACCTCTGGACTAAACGCTGAGATCTTCTGTCCTGTGTCTCCCTACGCTTCTCACGTTTCCAACCATATATCTCACTACAGGAAAAGAAACAGTTGTGTCTAGATGGCTTAGCGGTTTAGGGCACATACCATGAAGGCCTATGGTCCTAGATGGAAAGTTTGCATGAGTGATTCAACTTAGCTGGATGCATTTAGAAAATCTAAATAGGTTTAGTTTAAGAATTAAACACTGACTTTTTTTTTCTCCAACTATGGAAAAATCATCACTCGTCATACTGTTATCTACGGAACAGGATTAGGGCCACTGTAAAGAAAAAAAATCAACAGAGTTCTGATCTCAGAATTCTGATTGATTTTTTTCTCAGAATTCAGATTTTGTTTCTCGTAACTTTGAGGAAAAGGTCAGAATTCTGCTTCTTTGAATTTTGTTTCTTTTCAGTGGCCCTAATCCTCTTCCGTAGTTATCTAATATAAAACATTTGTGAAAATCAAGTGTATTCAAAAAAGGCTGGGTTCTTTTTTTGAGTGTGTATTCTCCATCTCATTTTTAGTGCTGTGTTTAGGTGTTTTAACTGTATTTGAAACAGTTTATAATGATACTACAATGCATGTAGGTGGGGTGTACATGTGAGAACGTGATGTTGAGAGGGCTGAGAAATAGATTTGATTCAGGCTCACAACAAAGTCCCCGTCTGTCTAGATTTTAGAAATATAAGGCCCTAACTGTTACATACTGAGAAATATGCTCAAGGAAATTCTAAAATCTGTGAAAGAAAGGTGGACAACTAGCAAGTGTGTATCTGCTTTTTGTGTGTGTGGGTATATAGTTTCAAAAAGGGGTTGATGTGTGGGCTGTGAGCAGTAATGGAGGATCTAGTTCCACTAATGTGATGAACATGATATTCCTTATACACCATAAAGACACAACACACACGAGTGCTGGCATACAGTCTCGCAGCATTCCTTCACAATTCTTCCACATAATGTTCTGTTTTCACTGCATGAAGGTGAAGATCAAAGGAGGTTAATGAGATTGGGATGCATCATTTTATGATTTTTTTAAATATTGTGAAAACATGAATTTCTAAGAGGGGGGATCCATTTTACCACATATAACAAGAAGTGCTAAAAAATTAATACATTTACAAAACTTATTCTGTCCAACTCCTCATAAAAAAGTTTATTTTCTGATTACTTTTACAGACATTTTTTGCACAAATGTAAATTACCCCTCTTCTGGTTTCACTTCTGGTTCTAATTTTTCTTAAGCAAAGATGAGAATAATTGCTCCCCAAAAAACAAGTCTTTACTCCCATGCTCTTTTCAAATATAACATAGTCTAGCTTTGACTTCTGCAGGACATGAATGTCTTACAAAGTTGTGCTACTGGGGAAGAAAACATTTCTAAAAAAGTTTAAGGGAAAGATAAAAGGTGCAAATCCATTTTAAAAGAAGTTCAACAATGCATGCCGTTGAAAATAAAACCTAATAATAAATAAAACAAAATCAAGTAACAGTGCTAAATATTTGGCTTAAAACCCAACAAAGGCTTCTACATTTTGGCAAAAAAAAAAAGAAAGTGAAAGAAGAGTTGTCATGAAGTAGCATCAGTCTGTGGACATGATCCCGCACAAGCACTGAGGATATTAAAAGCACATCAACATGAGGGGGGTAATGCTTAAAGCCACTAATGTCAGAACCTATGTAGACTAAACACAGTTGAGTGAGTACAGCTGCAGGAGAGCGGGCTTACACACAAACACACTTACACAGATTTCCTAGGCAGATGTTCAATGTGCTTTTGATAACAGCATCGGCAGCGCTAACAATCATTTCTCACACAAGGACACACATCGCCGTGCACATGTACAAAGCTAACGCCTCCTTTCTTGTATCCCATGTCTGCGTAAATCAAATCAGAGTCCTGCACCACTATAACCAACACCATATGAGATGGTGTTAAAATCAGCTCCATCTTAGACTGAACATGTTTTGGCCAGTGGGGAATGCTATGCTGCTGTACAAGTGTGTGTGTGTGTGTGTGTGTGGGTGGGTGGGGGGGGGTCTTACCTCTGTGCCACATTGTAGGACTCGGGGTGTATGCAGGTCTGGTCCAGGGGGTTTAACGAGTTAGGTATGCTAACGCCAACCTTCCCTTTGCCCTTCTTAGCCACTGGTTTGTCTGGGACTGCTGGTGCAGACTGAGATGTGGTTCTGGCACTGGATGAAGACAATAATTGTGAAAAATGTTAACTGCTCAGGGTTTTTGTCTTTAAAATTTAGAGAGGCATTAATCAGATTTTAAATACATTAGGTTATGGTGGTAAGAACATTAATGCATTTTGTTCACACCACACATGGGCATGGGTTTTATAAATTTACAGATATTAAAGTATTATTTCAACTCTTAATAATACTTCTCTATATGGATTAAATCAAAATGTTACATACAAAGACTCTGAAAAACTCTACAGTTGTAAAAGATCCCAACCAAACAGTTATCTGGACCATAAATCCACTTCTTTGCAGATTTAGATTTAGATCTAGAGTCTTCTGTTGTTATGCGTTAATCGTAGATTGGCTGTGACTTAATTGCTACCCTTTGAACCTCATCTCTTCTTTTCATATAAACTCAGATTTGAGCTGCAACCACAGCTTCAGAATATTTTACCTATTCTACCACACTTCTATGACATTTTCTTGAGCAAAAGTCCCCCGTTCTTTTTGGGTGATGGCTCATGGTTTAGGAGCTCATGGCTGATAGCAGATTCGGAACCAAGTAGGACTGGACAATAATTCAATAACAATATATATTGATTGAATAGTGCAATAGAAAAACAACTGATCCATAAAAAACAATGAAAAGTTTGGTTTCTGTTTTCAAAAACACAGAACCAGGCACACTCAGTCACCAAGTCCTCCCCTCTTAAACTAAAACAGACAGCAAGACATCGCAGCAAGGGTTTCACACTGGAAGCATCAAGAAGCGTGAATCAGCAGCAGAACGTTTCACCCGTGAGCTCCATTGCGGTCAATTAAACACTGGCAGAATCTTGGCCACAGAACGGCTTCCTCGCGGTGCTCCTCGTTCAGGGTTCCCACTCTTTTCTTGAAATAATTTTCCAGGACTTTTCCAGGACATTTTCAAGACTTTTTCAGTGTACAAGTCAAGTTATCATAACTGCGGTTTGCCGATATCCCGATATATTTAGAAACAGATATGATATTGTACCTACCCACACCGTTATTTTGACAATATAGTTGTGGAAAGATTTTTGTCTTTCACAAGCCCACCTGCTTTCCTCTACTTACAATGCAACACAACTAAAACAGAAGTTATTCTCTACTTTAGTTCATACCAGAGGTGTGACATTGTGGCATCATCAAGTCATCTCCATGTCCTGTTTTTGTTCTGCTCAGCAACTGAACCAGGTTAATCCACTGTGCTGAATGAAATCGTCGTTGTCTTCCTCCGCTTATCCGGGTCTGGGTCGCGGGGGCAGCATCCCAACTAGGGAGCTCCAGACCGTCCTCTCCCCAGCCACCTCCACCAGGACCCCAAGGCGTTCCCGGACCAGATTGGAGATGCAACCTCTCCAACGTGTCCTGGGTCGACCCGGGGGCCTCCTGCCGGCAGGACATGCCCGAAACACCTCCCCAGGGAGGCGTCCAGGGGGCATCCTGACCAGATGCCCAAACCACCTCAACTGACTCCTTTCGATCTGGAGGAGCAGCGGTTCTACTCAGAGTCCCTCCCGAATGTCCGAGCTCCTCACCCTATCTCTAAGGCTGAGCCCGGCCACCCTATGGAGGAAACTCATTTCGGTCGCTTGTATCCGCAATCTCGTTCTTTCGGTCATTACCCAAAGCTCATGACCATAGGTGAGGATTGGGACGTAGATTGACCAGTAAATCGAGAGCCTGGCTTTCTGGCTCAGCTCCCTCTTCACCACGACAGATCGGCTCAACGTCCGCAGCACTGCAGACGCCGAACCAACCCGCCTGTCGATCTCCCGATCCCTCCTACCCTCACTCGTGAACAAAACCCTGAAATACTTAAACTCCTCCACTTGAGGTAGGACCTCTCTCCCGACCCAGAGTTGGCAAGCCACCCTTTGCCGGTAGAGAACCATGGTCTCAGATTTGGAGGTGCTGATCCTCATCCCAGCCGCTTCACACTCGGCCGCGAACCTACCCAGCAAGAGCTGAAGGTCAGAGCTGGATGAAGCTAGGAGGACCACATCATCCACAAAAAGCAAAGACAAGATTCTCCTGCCATCAAACTCGACACACTCCACACCACGGCTGCGCCTAGAAATTCTGTCCATAAAGGTAATGAACAGAACCGGTGACAAAGGGCAGCCCTGGCGGAGTCCAACCCGCATCGGGAACAGGTCCAACTTACTACCGGCTATGCGGACCAAACTCACGCTCCTCTGGTAAAGGGACTGAATGGTCCTTAACAGAAAGCCACCCACCTCATACTCCTGGAGCGTCCCCCACAGAGTGCCCCTGGGGACACAGTCATAAACCTTCTCCAAATCCACAAAACACATGTGGATTGGTTGGGCAAACTCCCATGCCCCTCCATTACCCTTGCAAGGGTATAGAGCTGGTCCACAGTTCCACGGCCAGGACGAAAACCACATTGCTCCTCCTCAATCTGAGATTCGACTATCGATCGGACCCTCCTCTCCAGTACTTTTCCAGGGAGGCTGAGGAGTGTGATACCCCTATAGTTGGAACACACCCTCTGGTCACCCTTCTAAAAGATGGGGGCCACCACCCCAGTCTGCCCCCGAACTGGAACTGCCCCCGATGACCACACAATGTTGCAGAGACATGTCAACCATGACAGTCCTACAACATCCATAGCCTTGAGATACCCAGGATGAATCTCATCCACCCCTGGGGCTCTGCCGCTGTGTAGTTGTTTGACTACCTCAGCAACTTCTGCCCCTGAGATTGGACAGTCCATCCCCATGTCTCCTGGCTCTGGTTCCTCCTCGGAATGCGCGTAGGTGGGATTGAGGAGCTCCTCAAAGTATTCCTTCCACCGTCCGACCATAGCCCCAGTTGATGTCAGCAGCTCCCCATCCCCACTGTAAACAGTGTGAGCGAGTTGCTGTCTTCCTCTCCTGAGGCGTCGGATAGTTTGCCAGAACCTCTTTGGAGCCGATCGATAGTCTTTCTCCATGGCCTGACCAAACTCCTCCCACGCCTGAGATTTTGCCTTGGCAACTGCCACTGCTGCACCTCGCTTGGATATCCGGTACCTATCTGCTGCCTCCGGAGACCCACAGACCAGCCACGCCTTGTAGGCCTCCTTCTTCAGCCTGACGGCTCCCCGAACCTCTGGTGTCCACCAGCGGGTACGGGGGTTACCACCACAACTGGCACCGGCCACCTTGCGACCACAGCTAGCAACAGCCGCCTCAACAATCGCAGAGTGGAAGAAGGCCCGCTCTGAGTCAATGTCCCCCACTGCTCTCGGGACACGGTCAAAGCTCTGCCGGAGGTGGGAGTTGAAGACCGTCTTGACAGGGTCTTCTGCCAGGCGTTCCCAGCAGACCCTCACTATGCGTTTGGGTCTGCCAGGTCTACGCAGCATCTTCCCCTGCCATCTGATCCAACTCACCACCAGGTGGTGATCAGTTGACAGCTCCGCTCCTCTCTTCACTCGGGTATCCAAAACATACGGCCGTAGGTCAGATGATAAGACTACAAAGTCTATCATCGACTTGCGACCTAGGCTGCCCTGGTACCAAGTGTACCAATGGGCATCCTTATGTTCGAACATGGTGTTCGTTATGGCCAAACTGCGGCTTGCACAGAAGTCCAATAATGAAACACCACTTGAGTTCAGATCAGGCGGGCCGTCCCTCCCAATCACACCCCTCCAGGTCATGCTGTCATTGCCCAGGTGAGCATTGAAGTCCCCCAGCAGGACAATGGAGTCCCCTGATGGAGCACTATCTAGCACTCGTCCCAGGGATTTCAAAAAGGGTGGGTACTCTGAACTGGTATTTAGCCCATAAGCGCAAACTACAGTCAGGACCCGTTCCCTGACCCGAAGGCACAGGGAAGCTACCCTCTCGTCCACTGGGGTAAACCCCAACACACAGGCACAGATTCTTGGGGCTAGCAAAAAGACAGTTTTGAAAAGTTTTGAATTGGCACCGTCTTCCTGACATCACTCACTCCTGCCTATAAAGGACACAAAGACATATTTTGAAAGATTGTTACTGTTTATACAATAAATTAGGCCTACTTTTCAAACCTTAGCTCTTTCATATCTTTCATATTCTATGTATTATACTTACTGTACACACCACATTACACTTTACTGCTTATTCCAAATAGTTGGATGTTAAACTGCATTTTGTTGTTCCAGTATTGGTCATTTTAGGTTAGTCCAGTCATCCAGAAACAAGATTCAGGATAGATGACTAGGCTAATATCTCCCGCTAACACCACAGACATATTGGACCTGAAAAATATTTTTTTCTACCTCAGAGATAAGTACTTGTAGTTGTTCGCTACCATTTTAGCCTGGACTGTACGTGACATTACTATGATAAATATATAGTTACCACTTAAAATCATTCTAGTTATTAATTTAGCCGTGTTGAATTCAATTTAATTACGTTAACAACTTTGTTCAATGACCATGCCAGTCCAGTTCTCACTGCCACCTGGCTGCGGTCTGTGTAGCTAGCTAAAAACAGTATGAACAGCGAGGCTCTGTCCTCTGAGCACATACTTAGTATTTTGATAGAATCAAATTCATGACATTTTTATCATTCACATATTTTTGTTTCTGCTGTTGGACGATAGAACAAGTATGAATTACTGAGTGGAGCGCGGGTCCGGTAGACTACCTGCTTTCCGTTGCTATCCCGAAGCTCTCCTCAAGTTCACTCGTCTCATCGCATGAGTGAAAAAAACAAAAGCTTTCCGCTGCTCCTTTGTCACTCAACAGAGAGAAGGAGAAAAACCTCTCGCTCTATAAACTGCGATAACGCAATACTCGCGAACCGAGTCGCTACTTTTGGCCCTTCTTTAGAGAAATAAATCTAGGGGTGAAAAATCTGTAAATCTAGCCAAAAAGACAGTTGGAAAAACAGAAGTGGAACTGGAACTGAAGGGGATTATGCAATCTGATTGGTTGGAAGCGTCATGTGGCCAGCTAGATGCAGAAATTAAAGGAGAAGCGCTACAGCCCAATATTGCCCAAAATGTTTAATCCATTTGTTTATCCACAAGGATGGAAAATTATTTTCCAGGACAACTCAAAAATTTCCAGGACATTTTGCAATTCCCCCCATTTTCCATGTGTTTTCCATGACTGGAAAATTGGACTATCATTTTCCAGGTTTTCCAGGTTTTCCAGGACGCGTGGGAACCCTGTCGTTAGACTCGCGAGATCACAAAATCTCTCGAGACTTCAACGGTCATGGTTTGCTTATGCAATCCCCCATTAAACCAAAAAGAAGGAAATGTTTAAGATGTTGTTACTCTCCACTGCCAGGATTAAAGCCATGAAAAACAAACCGCTGCACTTCTGGAATGATACTGGGAGTAAATAAGCCATTGGGTCACAGGTAAGCTTCACATATATGAAATTAGATCGCTGCAGTGCTTTTATTTTGAAAATTACTGGGGATTTTACAACCATGAAACCATGCGTGATTTCCTGTCTAGCCTCATGATAACTGCGGAAATTAACGTGTCCCAGAAGTGGCTAGCTGCAAAAATAGAACCCGATCCTATCTTTAGCAGCACGGCGCTCCTGGGACGGGCCTGAAAATTGCAATGTAGTGGCTGGTTTGAAACACCCCATAGCCTAAAATGGATTCTATCTGAAGCAGCGACATTCTGCTGCCGTTCCACTCCACTGATGCTTTCTGCGTGAAATAGGGGTCAAAGGGTTACAGTAGTTCACCAGCAGGGTGACATTTTGGTTTTTACAAGTCTGACAGAAAAAACCCCCACCATAGTCAATAGAAAAATTAGCAGAGTATCGATGAAAAAAAATCAAGTTTGGTAACACAACCAGCTTATTTTTTCATTGATTATTGACATCAAATGTCCAGGGCTGCACTTAGAATATATTTTCTACATTTTTTATAACTATCAATAATTATTGATGTCAATCAACATGACATTATTTTCAATCAATATGATATTTTTTTCTATATCGCCCAGCCTGAGAACTGAGGCTTATCCATGTCAGTCGTTCTGTCCTTGGGCAAGACACTTCACCTCCCTTACCTACTGGTGGTGGTCGGAGCTAAGGGTGGTGTCTGTGCACAGCAGCCTCGTTTCCATTTGTGTGGCCCATGGCAGCTGTGGCTACAATGCAGCTCATTGCTTTCAGAGAGGGAATGAGTTATGTAAAGTGCTTTGGAGTCCTCTGACATAGAAAAGTGCTATAAAAATGTGATACACATATATTTTTAGGGCTTTACGTTTTTTCTTTTGAGCACAAGCTGCTTCTTAGTCAGTTTAGTCTCTGTTACTGATTTTCAGATAATGTTTTAGGCCTAACCATGATTAAGGACTAATTCAAGCATGAAGAAAGACTTTCAAATAAAAACAAGTTAGCAATGGATCTCTGCTAAATGTTATTGTAAGGCATGTTTTTACAAGCAGCCTCTTATTGTGAACAAAGAAGTGCCAAGTTGTCAGCCAACAGTTTTTCAGGCTTCACTTTGATGGCCTGTGGAATTTTTTCATCAATGAAATTACAAAAGAAAAAACTGGTTATGCATCTTTGTACATTACCAGTTTTTGAGCTACTTTGCTCATAACTCAATTGGCAAATAGTTCTACAAATGAAATACTTGCGTTAAACCATTTTTATAAAACATTGAGTAATACATTTCAAAGTACTTCACACGTTTGTCTTTGTGTTTGAATTGTGTTCATGAGTGTTTACCTGTTGAGGGTTAGTGGGTTGATTCTGATGAAGCCAGCACACTGTTGGAAGCTCTTGGGCCCCATGCCTTTGACCAGTTTTAGCTGCTCTCTGTTGATGAAAGCACCGTTCTTCTCTCGCCACTCGGTAATACTCTGAGCCCTGCCTGCATTTAGGCCTGCTACATGCCTAGAAAGTAAAATAATCAAATAAAACAGTAAAAAAAAAAGTTGCATCTTATTTTTGCAAAGTTTAGAACTGATTTTTGTTGAATTTGTTCAATTCCGAGTTCTTCAAACTGCAGTGGGTGAAGTTCAGTTTAAAGTGTCTACAACATTTAAATCAGTAATTTAGCAGATTTTACACAAATATTGGCAACATTATAACATCTTCACCAAACACTTGTAGCCCTTTTTGGCAGAGCAAAGATGAGAAGTTTGAAACTCAATTAGGTCAATCCTGTTAATGCCCAAAGTGAGTCACTCACTCTAAAACACACCGCTGTGTCAACACTCCACATAATACATCAGTCATCAACACGTTTGTGTGTTTTGTATCTGAGTATGAGTACAGTGTAACTGGTGGCAGAAATGGAAAAAGCTCTTGCAGAGCAGACAGGTAAACAGATGACTTGATACTTGCTTGCCCTAAAGTCAGTGCCAGCATACATACATACATACATAGATGTGTGTGTGTGTGTGTGTGTGTGTGTGTGTGTGTGTGTGTGTGTGTGTGTGTGTGTGTGTGTGTGTGTGTGTGTGTGTGTGTGTGTGTGTGTATACATATATATTGATACAGCACTCTGGGAACAGCCTATTCGTTCAGAAATGTCTTTCTGTGTCTTACCCTCTTGCTTGAGGGTGTCAATGATGGCCTTCTGGACAGCAGTCAGATAGGCAGTCTTACCCATGATTGCGGTTTTGAATAATGAACCAGGCTGGGAGGTTTTAAAAGTCTCAGGAATCTTTTGAAGGTGTTTAGAGTATATTAGTTGATTCAGATGATTAGGTTAATAGCTCGTTTAGAGAACCTTTTCATGATATGCTAATTTTTTGAAACAGGAATTTTGGGTTTTCATGAGCTGTATGCCAAAATCATCAATATTAGAAACAATAAAAGGCTTGAACTACTTTAGTTGTATGTAACGAATCTAATATATAGGAAAGTCTAATCTTTATCAGTACATTACAGACAATAATGAACTTTATCATAATACGCACATTTTTTAGAAGGACCTGTATATATATATATATATATATATATATACCTGACTGTGTGTATATACACTGTATACAATTTATGTATACAGTATACAGTGTATACACACACACACACATATATATATATATATATATATATATATATATATATATATATATATATATATATATATATATATATATACACATATACATATATATATATATATATCTATACATATACATATATACAAATATATATATATTTATATATATATATGTATATATATGCATGATGTATATATATATATATATATATATATATATATATATAGATAGATAGATAGATAGATAGATAGATATACAGTATATATATATATATATATATATATATATATATATATATATATATATATATATATATATATATATATATATATATATATATATATATATATATATACGGTGTTGTGATTTGAAGTTTGTATATTTACAGGTGCTGGCCAGTAAATTAGAATATCATCAAAAGGTTGAAAATATTTCAGTAATTCCATTCAAAACATGAAACTTGTACATTATATTCATGCAATGCACACAGACCAATGTATTTCCGATGTTTATTACGTTTAATTTTGATATTTATAGGTGACAACCAATGAAAACATCAAATCTGGTATCTCAGAAAATTAGAATATTCTAAAGGCCAATGAAAAAATGTTTGTTTCTCTAATGTTGGCCAACTGAAAAGAATGAACATGAAAAGAATGTGCATGTATAGCACTCAATACTTAGTCGGGGCTCCTTTTGCCTCAATAACTGCAGTAATGCGGCGTGGCATGGACTCGATCAGTCTGTGGCACTGCTCAGGTGTTATGAGAGCCCAGGTTGCTCTGATAGTCGTCTTCAGCTCCTCTGCATTGTTGGGTCTAGCGTATTGCATCCTCCGCTTCACAATACCCCATAGATTTTCTATGGGGTTAAGGTCAGGCGAGTTTGCTGGCCAATCAAGGACAGGGATACCATGGTCCTTGAACCAGGTGCTGGTGGTTTTGGCACTGTGTGCAGGTGCCAAGTCCTGTTGAAAGGTGAAGTCTGCATCCCCATAAAGTTGGTCAGCAGCAGGAAGCATGAAGTGCTCTAAAACTTCCTGGTAGACGGCTGCATTGACCCTGGACCTCAGGAAACAGAGTGGGCCAACACCGGCAGATGACATGGCACCCCACACCATCACTGACGGTGGAAACTTTACACTGGACCTCATGCAACGTGGATTCTGTGCTTCTCCGCTCTTCCTCCAGACTCTGGGTCCTTGATTTCCAAAGGAAATGCAGAACTTGCTTTCATCAGAAAACATAACTTTGGACCACTCAGCATCAGTCCAGTCCTTTTTGTCCTTGGCCCAGGCGAGACGCTTCTTGCGCTGTTTCATGTTCAAGAGTGGCTTGACACACGGAATGCGACACCTGAATCCCATGTCTTTCATGAGTCTCCTCGTGGTGGTTCTTGAAGCGCTGACTCCAGCTGCAGTCCACTCTTTGTGGATCTCCCCCACATTTTTGAATGGGTTTGTCGTCACAATTCTCTGCAGGGTGCGGTTATCCCTAGAGCTTGTACACTTTTTTCTACCACATTTTTTCCGTCCCTTCGCCTGTCTGTTAATGTGCTTGGACACAGAGCTCTGCGAACAGCCAGCTTCTTTAGCAATCACCTTTTGTGTCTTGCCCTCCTTGTGCAAGGTGTCAATGATTGTCTTTTGGACAGCTGTTAAGTCAGAAGTCTTCCCCATGATTGTGGTGCCTTCAAAACAAGACTGAGGGACCTTTTAAAGGCCTTTGCAGGTGTTTTGAGTAAATCAGCTGATTAGAGTGGCAGCAGGTGTCTTCTATATTCAGCCTTTTCAGAATATTCTAATTTTTTGAGATACCAAATTTGGAGTTTTCATTAGTTGTCACTTATGAATATCAAATTTAAATGTAATGAACATTGGAAATACATTGGTCTGTGTGCATTGCATGAATATAATGTACAAGTTTCACGTTTTGAATGGAATTACTGAAATATTTTCAACCTTTTGATGATATTCTAATTTACTGGCCAGCACCTGTATACAATCTAAGTAATCAATCAGAAGAGGCTGTTTTTATCATCAGGGAGTTTACTTAAACACTTTGTATTGACTGAGAGACAAGAAAGAGAGAAAGTTGGGATCGTTTAAGAATCTTTAATTTCTATAATTATAAATTCTTACAATCTACCAGGACTATCTCAATGATGGATGCATATGGATGTAGATGGTTCGGGTTGGTGTGTGTGTGTGTGTTTTGTTCAGAATCTCTAGGCTGAGTAGCGAGTCTGGTTTGTTATGACTAGGCTACCACGAGGCTTCAGAAGCTGATGACATGAGCCGCCATATTGCCGTACCTTAGATGGAGTCTCCCGTGTAGATCAGGAATTGCCAGGTCTCGGACCTTCAGCGATACTGGAGCTGGTTGAAACAGTGGTCACAGCAAACAACGCCCGTCTGAAGGGTCGACTCAGGTAGTGGTTGGCAGGCGTCAGCAAGTTCACTCTTATTTTGAAGGAACGTAGTCTCGTCGGTATAAACGACAGAAAATCTCAAGCTTGACAGATTTCAGCTCAAAGTAGGAAGTCCAGCTGGCCAGTCTGAACTTCTTAATGATGACGATGGAAATCCTTAGGAACACAGATGTCCGGGAGCTGAGTTTAATACGTAACTGCTGAAAGTCGGACGTAACGTGGAACTGACTTAAAATGGCGTTGCCTTCTTTTTATATCTCCCAGTTGTTTGAGAATCTTAGTAAACCGGATTGGACTACTTTCATAAACAAACCAGATTCTGCCCTACCACAGACGAAAGTTCTGATTGGCTGAAAACAATGTGTCATGCGTTTCCATGGTAATGCATATCAGTGTGTCTGGGCAGCCCTGTTTATTCATTTAAACACATAACTCATGACATCTTTATTTCACAGGTCATTCACCTGATTATTAATGATCAACAAATGCTTTGATTAGCTTATCACAAAGGAAGTACTTTGATTAACCCATGAAAAGCGTTCTTCTTCTGTTATTCTGTCTCTTCTCCTGGAATGTAAACATACTGAACCAAGCGTCCGACCTTGGCGGTGTTACTGTGTGAAGGGGCAGCTGTTAAGTGCAGACCATCATGAATTCTCTAACGCTACAACGGTCAGGTCCATTAATGTTGGGACATCGACACAATGCTAACATGTTTGGCTCTATACACGACCACAATGGATATCAAATGAAACGAACAAGATGTGCTTTAACTGCAGGCTGTCAGCCTTTATTTGAGGATATTTACATCCAAATCAGGTGAACGGTGTAGGAATTACAACAGTTTGCATATGTGCCTCCCACTTGTTAAGGGACCAAAAGTAATGGGACAATTGGCTTCTCAGCTGTTCCATGGCCAGGTGTGTGTTATTCCCTCATTATCCCAATTACAATGAGCAGATAAAAGGTCCAGAGTTCATTTCAAGTGTGCTATTTGCATTAGGAATCTGTTGCTGTCAACTGTCAAGATGAGATCCAAAGAGCTGTCACTATTAGTGTAGCAAGCCATCCTTAGGCTGAAAAAAACAAAAGAAACCTATCAGAGAGATAGCAAAAACATTAGGCGTGGCCAAAACAACAGTTTGGAACATTCTCAAAAGAAGGAACGCACCAGTGAGCTCAGCAACACCAAAAGACCCGAAAGACCACGGAAAACAGCTGTGGTGGATGACCAAAGAATCCTTTTCCTGGTGAAGAAAACACCCTTCACAACAGTTGGCCAGATCAAGAACACTCTCCAGGAGGTAGGTGTATCTGTGTCAAAGTCAACAATCAAGAGAAGACTCCACCAGTGTGAATACAGAGGGTTCACCACAAGATGTAAACCATTAGTGAGCCCCAAAAACAGGAAGGCCAGATTAGAGTTTGCCAAACAACATCTAAAAAAGCCTTCACAGTTCTGGAACAACATCCTATGGCCAGATGAGACCAAGACCAACTTGTACCAGAGTGACTGGAAGAGAAAAGTATGGAGACAAAGGAACTGCTCATGATCCTGAGCATACCACCTCATCAATGAAGCATGGTGCTGGAAGTGTCATGGCGTGGGTATGTATGGCTGCCAGTGGAACTGGTTCTCTTGTATTTATTGATGATGTGACTGCTGACAAAAGCAGCACGATGAAGTCTGAAGTGTTTCGGGCAATATTATCTGCTCATATTCAGCCAAATGCCTCAGAACTCATTGGACGGCGCTTCACAGTGCAGATGGACAATGACCTAAAGCATACTGCAAAAGCAACCAAAGAGTTTTTGAAGGGAAAGAAGTGGACTGTTTTGCAATGGCCAAGTCAATCACCTGACCTGAATCCGATTGAGCATGCATTTCACTTGCTGAAGACAAAACTGAAGGGAAAATGCCCCAGGAACAAGCAGGAACTGAAGACTGTTGCAGTAGAGGCCTGGCAGAGCATCACCAGGGATGAAACCCAACGTCTGGTGATGTCTGTGTTCCAGACTTCAGGCTGTAATTGACTGCAAAGGATTTGCAACCAAGTATTGAAAAGTATAAGTTTGATGTATGGTTCTTATTCTGCCCCATTACTTTTGGTCCCTTAACAAGTGGGAGGCACGTATGCAAACTGTTGTAATTCCTACACCGTTCACCTGATTTGGATGAAAATACCCTCAAATAAAAGCTGACAGTCTGCAGTTAAAGCTCATCTTGTTTGTTTCATTTGATATCCATTGTGGTCGTGCATAGAGCCAAAAATGTTAGCACTGTGTTGATGTCCCAATATTTATGGACCTGACTGTATTTAAATAAATATATATATATATATATATATATATATATATATATATATATATATATTAGTAATGTTAATATCAAGTTAAAAATGTGAATATATCAGATTTTGCACATCCTAAATATTTGTAATTTCTGAGAAAACCTGCAGCAACCATCTGTGCAGTGTGTCATTCTACCAGTCAAAATGATTTGATGTCTACACATGTGCTTTTGTGTGTGTACCGTTGCCTAATCCTCTCAGATGATTCCAGTCAGCCCAGTAATTGGGGCGAGGGTGAAAAGCTTTAGTCTAAACAGAGAGCTGGCAGGCCATTTATGTGCATGTTCATTAATCACACGCCTGTTCTAAGTGTGAATGAAGCTTTGCCATGTTGTGACTGCAAAGGGAAAGTATGTCAGAGGTCTAAGCCCTGCTCCATCTCTTTTTCAGATTTTGCATGTGTGTCCGTACATGTGCGGAGAGAAAATAGAACAGGGCATGGGTGTGAAAACATACATCTGCTCTGTTTTTCTGATGTTTAGATGGTCATTAATCAGGAAGATACTTCATGAATCTATAGGTAATTCTGACCCAAACCACAAACTAAATTGATTAAAAGTTTCAGAAAAAAGAATGTGTTGTGATGCAAGTTATAGAATTGTCTCTGCAAACCCAGGTTCTTAATATCAGGCATTAAACCCAAGAAAAAATAGCAAATGAGATGTTTTAAGTTTGCAGATGAAAATAAGAAAAGCGCCGCATGATAATTTCTCCGAGGACTAAAACAAAGGGTGTGGTGGCAAATCCACGTGAGTAGATTTTTTAGATAAAATATGAGTATAGTGTGATGTGTTACATGCCTCATCAATGTCTCAGAGCAGATGTTGATATCCACCCCAACAAAGCTCACACACTCCTGCACCACTCCATCCAGCGCCGCCTTCAAAGCTCCAGCTGACACATCGTGCTATAAAACATTTAACAAAAACAAAAAGTGTTTGCATACAAAACAGAAGAAAACATATTTTTGATTGACTTTCAGTTTAATTAACATAAAAAAATTAAAACAACTATTTTATGCTAAACTGTTTAAAACTATTAACAAATCAGCCTTTTTCTAATAATTTATTTAAAGCATTTACACTCTTTTAAACCTGCTTCAGCTTTGCGGTTTGATTAAATTCATCTGTTAGACTATTCCATAATTTTAACCAACAAACTAAAATACATACTTTTTTCTCAGCAGAACAAAAATATATGTGTCATCAGCAAATAACACACATTTTAATACCTCTGATTCTCTGTATGAATTAATAATGAATTAACATTTGGCCTAAAATTGATCCTAACCACATGTAATCATAAATCTAGATCTCCATTGATTTACTTGCAACAGCTTAAGTTTGTAGGTCTTTACCTCATTAATCAATACCTTGGCAAACCTACTTCTCAATCTTCCAGTGTCTTAAATAGTTGACAGTGTTGAACTTGAATGCTTTCTTAAGATCTAAAACAGTCCTACTGCATACTTCCCTTTTTAAAATCTATACATTCAGTTACTTCTTGCTCCAAATCAATCACTGCCAATTTTGTCCCTACATTAAATCTAAAACTGGCCTGGAAATATAGAAAACTGTAGCAGAAGCCAAAGGATTTCTACTCTGCAGGTCTAGCCACGCTCCACTGGAACCTCAGCAGGCAGTATTGTGTTATTCCAATATCAGCTCTCCATCCGTTTAGTGGTGATGTTAGTGCGGCTAAGCGAAAAGATGGCGGCGACTAATTTGAAACAACTTTGGCATCAACTTTGGACTATTCAGACTTGGGCTTTTCTTTGAGTGAAGAGCAGCTAGAGGTACTTGAGTCCTTTATTAAGAAACAGGATGTACTTGCATCTTCTTGGACAGTGTAAGGCAGACTGCCCAGATGACTGACACCCGTAGCGGTGAGCACATCATGGTATTTGTTTTCCAATAGCATGCAGAGACAGTTTGAAAGTAGGGTTGGGTGATGGGACGAATGAATCGGCCATCGGTGATAGGCTGAACCGTTACGGTTGTTTTTTTTACAGGAGGCGATTTGTTTATTTGTTTGCCCGTGAGTTAGTTTGTTATTGACAACTATTTTACACGTTACGCACAGAGAACATCGCAGAGGTAACAATCAAGAAAAGATCTCCATCAGCACATCTGAGCCTTTTCTCACCTCCTCTCACTGCTGACAGTGCGCGTAAGCTGCGTGCGGTGGTCGAGCTCGGAGAGTGTCTGCGACGCACTCAACATTGTGCACAGTAGCGCAGTGTTGAATGGAAAGTGGAAACTCTTCTGAGTCTGGAAGACTTCTTGTTATTTCATTTGGAGAAATGTTTCCTGATTTAAAACTTTGGCTTAAGTAGCGCTCGTTATTCAGCACCTGCTTCGAGTGTGTCAGCGGAGCGCAGATTCATCCAGAACAACCTTTAAACATCCACGGGTCTGTCTGAGGCAAAAAGTCTAGAACCTCATAACCTCTTCAGCAAGCTCCCTAGAGACATTTGATTACACACAAGCTGCAGCACCCAGTAGTCTTTCTTCAGAAAAAAACATTTCACTTAAATAAAATACCATGATGGTGGGCCCCACAGGGAAACAAAGATGAGGCTTCTTTTTAACACTTTAACCGTGTTTAATATGAGCCGTTTATACGTCACAAAACCAAACTACAAATATAAAATTAAACAAAAAAAATTTCTAAATTTCACTTCCAGCAAACATATGCGCTGCGCTTGTATAAAAAATATCCATCTTTTGGGCTTCTTCTGTGTTCGCAAATGATTTCGTGCGTCATGACGTCGCATGCACGAATACATTTTCCATCGTCATTTTTTGGACTGACGGTTGGCGGTGGGAAAAATTATACAAATGGCCCAACCCTCTTTGAAAGACAACTGTAGATTATGCCCCACAATGAACTCCCACTCAGTGGGTCATGGCCAGAGTGTAGACTCACATATGCTGGATGGCTTGTTAGGCTACAAATCTGTCAACAACTCGTGCTTCTCTACAGATACTTTTAATTCTAAGACTCGCCTTAAAACCCTTTTTTTTTGTCGAGGCAGTCCAGGATTAGCATATTTTACCCGGTTTCAATGCCCCGGCCTCTTAATCTTTTTCAGGATTTTATTTTTTGCTTTTACTCTCCTCTTTCAATTGACTTTATGTTGGTTTTACGATTGTTATATGTTATTCTGATGGTTTTATGTTTTTATTGTGTTGTGTTCAGCACCTTGGGCGTCTGCATTCTTCGCAGAAGGGGCTTTATAAATAAATGAAATGAAATTCATTTTAACCTCATTTGCATTTTGTCCATCTGATTTTAGAGGATTAAAAAAAACACAATCAAGCAAAAACATCTGCATCTTTAAACACTTCATGATTTCAACATGCAAGTAATAAAAGTTCATCACAGTGATTGACAGACTGAACGGCAAGAAAAAGGAAGATAAATTACAGAAAAGAAAAGTAGTTTGACGGGCAATGGGTCTGCAGAAGGAAGTGGAGAATGTTTGGTTTGGCTTGGTAATGGTGTTTCTTACTTTTTAAACGTTCCTCTCGGTGCAGCTCAGAGTCAGTTAAGATCCTCCAAATGAACTTTCAGAACTCTCGATGAAAACATTTTATCCAGGTCGTATTTTTCCAGAAAGGACAGGAACCCTTTTCCTATTAAGGAGTAACACGGACTTGATTGCATGGAAAGGAAAGTGATGGAAACAGAAAGGAAAAGAAACGCTTTTGGTTGGACATCGTCTAAATTCAAGAATTTGAGCTGGACACTGATGTCTCAGCAACTGTCTGAGGATTAGCTGACACTCTAAACTGGACTACTGTTGGATTATTGCATCTGTGTGCCACTGCGAGCGTGTGTACATGCATGAGTTTGTGGGTCATGTGTTTGAACAAGGCAGAGAACAGCAGGAGGTTTCCTGTAACATGATAGAGCTCTGAACAAATACCGACTTGTAAACAGATAACACCACCAGCACACACCCTTCTCTGTTAGCAATAAGCAAGACAGGCAGGACAAGAGGGGTGGGGGTGAGTCAAACAGGGGCAACAGAGACTCAAGAACACAAGGAATTTCTCATTTTCACCTTCAACATTTTCAGATTTTCTTTGATTTACTAACAGTCACATTCCATCATGATGAGTGATGCATTAATTTAACATTTTAATAAATAATACACAACTGTTACAAGGTAAAAAACCAGATCAGACTGCAACAAGCAAAACTATGGAATGAGAAAATTGCACTGGATTCAGTTAAGTAGAAAAATGAAAGAAAACGCTAATAGAACTAAGTCACTGTTTACAGTTGTGTAAAAGTACGATTTTAGTCACATTTTTATGTCCTCTGTGGTGCAATGGGCCTCTGGGTGACAAAGCATTCTATAAAACCACATCCAATGAGGAGTTAAAGCAAATCAATACATCACTCAAACAAAAACAATTATAAACAATGTGCTGATACATAAAAATAGAAGAGACAAATAGGTAACAGCAACCAGAATGCAAAAGTGGAAACCCTCGACAATGTTTATGTTTTTATTTTCAAAAGATAATTACCAAAACAGTACAAAATGTTATATTGTTGAAATATAAAAATAACAACTACTAAAACAAGTTACAGAAGTAACCAGTTTTAGTGTATAAACCTTAAGTGAATAAAATTTTATAAGCGGTAATTCTGTGATCTAAATAGCTACTTTAAGATTAATGATGTGCAACATTACTGTATTGCATAATGACATCTGGGTGAGGGAACCTTTAATAACATCAGGAAAACAGAAACAGAAAAAGATAAGAACTGGAAAAATAATGAAGGAAAAACTCAACATTATGTTCATGAGTAACTTACTTCCTGGTTTTGTGGCGCTAATGCCTGAGGAACTTTGCAGATAAAAATCAAAACGGAGGAGTTCTCATAAAGCTAGGGTTGAAATATTTATGACTTCCTGTTAGGTGGAAGACGAGTGTCAGACATAGCAGGAAAGAAAAGAAAGGAAATCACCTGTAATGTCACACCTGAAGAGAATGTTTTCACACGAGAAAGTTTGAGGTGTGCACAGCAGTGAGAGCTTTAACCTGCAATAAGAACCTAAACTATTGTGCTCTCGTTTTCTCACAGTATCTTTAGAAGAATAAAGGAATCTGAGATATGAACAAAACTGCACGTGCACCTACTGTACCTGTGCTCGTAGAGAAAAATAAATACAACTGGATAGCTACACTTCAATATATAGCCATCCTGTTAGCATCTGCAAAACCAGAACAAGTGCAACGTGTCTTTCTAATTTGTTATCTGTAATTTCATCATAAAACACTTCATAAACCATTACGCTTTCAATATTTTCAGGTAAGATGTTAGGGCTGCTCAGCAATGAACTATAATCACAGCCGTAATTACACTGGTCATTAATGACATGACTAGTATTTAACAAGTATTCATTCAGTTAAAATTATAGAGCTGTGCAGCTGCTACAAAAGCAACAATGTCAAAGCAGTCAGTCAGTGTGCAAAAGCATTTGTTGGCTGTTTTGTTTGTTTTTAGTGGGCTACACGGTGACACAGTCGGTAGCACTGCTGCCACTCAGCAAGATGGTAGAAGGCTTAAATCATGGCTGTGAATTTTCTGTGCAGAGTTATCATATTTGGGTTTTCTCTATATACTCTGATTTCATTCCACAGACCAAAAACCTGCAGGTTATTATTTGAGAATGCAAATTGTACCTAGGAATGACTGAGTGTTTGCCTGACTGGTTGTCTCTGTGTGTGTTGCTGTAATGGACTTGAGACCTGTCCAGGGTGTTCTTCCACCTCACACCCATTGACTGCTGGAGACTGAACCAGCTCCCCATTACACTACTGAGAGTTAGGAAATGGGTGACTGAGTGCTTTTTACAAGGTAAATCAATGCTCTGAAATAGACCTC